GGAGCTTTGGTGAGTCATGAACCCACCTTTGCTAGGAAGCAAAAGCGATTTGGCGCGGGCATTGGTCCGGGACGAACAATGTGCTAGATATCGGAGTATCCGAGTTGTCAAACACCAAAGAGTCCCGATCGTGGCTCGCGAGCTGAACGTGGGGTGGCTTGTAACCTTCCTGAGCGCTGCTCAGGTATTGGAGCAGTGGCTGCATGCCAAGAGTGGCATGGTTGGCCAAGGGCCGATGCATCAAGGGCAAGCCCCTTGTGATGCACATGGAGTGGCACGTAACCCACCGAGTACTGCTCATATTACGTAGCAGTTGCTGCGTGCCAAGAATGGCATGGTAGGATGAGGTTCGAGGCATCAAGGACGAGGCCCTTGTGATGTGCGTGGAGTGGCTCGTAATTAACTAAGCACTACTCACGTTTTGAAGCAGTTGCTGCATGCCAATAGTGGCATGGTCGGACGAGATCCGAGGCACGTATCCACTGAACGAAGACTGCTGAAATAGCAGCTCTTCGTCGGATGTTGTTAATAACATCAAGGCTCCGATGGAGCAGGGAGTGGGAGACTGGACGACGCCGAGTGCGTGTTCCCCCTGGTCTCGATGAGACGTAAGACCTCTATAAAAAGAAGATAACGAAGTCGTATATTATCTGCAAGACGCAGGGCGTCATCCTGACCGAGGGTGTGTCTACCGGAGACGATAGCGTACAGCTATATATCCTTGTCAACGGTAGGACGGGAGAGAAAGACGGCGACGTCTTTCGCGAGGCTATTCCCGCGGTGGATGCTCCTCGTGAGCTGGACGAGATGATATTCGAAGAGTTTGGCATTGCCTTGAAGGCAGGAAATCTAGCCGAGGTGGTCATTATGAGACCGAAGGAGGAGATTGAATCGTCGTCGATTCTGGATGAAGCTTTCCTGGAGGACACTAAGAGAGTGTTGATCGCACGAAGTGGATCGTCGATCCTGAAGGACCCTTTAAATCCGTACTAATCTATGAAAAAAAAATTCCAAGACGTCGTCTCCAAAGACCCGCCGTCGGTCCTACCTCCGGACCGAGGTGTGTGGCATGAGATTGACCTGGTTCCGAGAGCCAAATACTGCATATTACGCCAACGGCCTCTACCCAAGGAGAAATGTGACGTCATTGACTACTTTTTTTCGTGTGAAGCAAGAAGCAGGTATGGTACGTGAGAGCAAGTCTCCCCATTCGACACCAAAATTTTGTGTTCGGAACCCCAACGGCAACTGCCAGTTCGCGCACGCTTATAATATGCTCAATTTTGCCACCATTCCGGCACAAACGCTAATTCCTAGAAATAATGTTCCTCAGAACAATATGGTTGGCTGTACAAAGTACAGCACACTCAACTTGGTCAATGGGTATTACCAATTGCTCATGAGAGCGAGTGATATTCCGCTGACAGCCGTGAGTACTCCGAGCGGGATGCTCTGGGAGTGGCTGGTAATGCTCCAAGGGCTGCCAAATGCACCAGCAACATTTAATTGTCTTGTGATTAGGCGTATGTGCAGACATACTTCGACGACATCTTCGTCCACAGTCGTGCGGGGCTCGGGGGGGGGCAGATAAGGAAAACCATACCGTCCATTTGAGAGCGGTGCTGGAGTGAATGCGCACGAATAAGCTGTATACTAATGCCAATAAGTTTATCTTCGACGCGAAAGAAATTATCGTTTTAGGGTGCTTCATTGGGAAGCGTGGCCTTCGAGCGGGTCCCGCAAAAATCAAGGCCATTGTGGACTGGCTGGTCCCAAAGAACCAGAAGGACTTGCGTATGTGGCTTGGCCTCGCCAACTACTTGCACAAGTATAGCGTAAATTGTGCAGAAATGGTATGGCCATCGTTGAATTTCCTTAGGAAGGATACAGAATGGTGCTGGGACACCGAGCATCGAGAGGCTTTTGACAAGGTCAAAGACAGTCTCCTTCTAGATTCCATACTGGCGTTGCCAGACCCCGATTGACTTTTTAGTGTCATCTGTGACGCTTCGAACTTTGCCATCGGCTGTGGACTACTGCAAGCAGACGCCGAGGGGCGAGATCGGGTGATCCCGTTCAAATCTTTCCAATTTAAGCCTGCGATGAACACTTCAATCCACGACAACGAATAACTTGCGATGAAATATGCCCTTGTCAAGTTCAGGGTGTACCTGCTGGACTTAAAGCCGTTCGTGAGCTACACAGATCATGCGTCATTACGCACTGCAACTCAGTCGCCTCATTTCTCGCAGAGGATTGACAGGTGGCTCTCATCTTTCGCAGAATATAAATTCGAGGTGAAGTATAAGACAGAAAAGCAGAATGCTTTGGCTGATGCGCTGTCACCCAGACCGGACTATGAACTTGCTAATGTTACGGCCGTGGACGGATTTGGTCCGCACCGCATACGCGGGTGACAGTATGTGTGTAGCGCTGCTACACTTTCTCGGGAGCAAGGGATTCGGAATCACGGACAACAAATTGTCGGCGCGTTTGCGCGCATGGTTACACCGGTATTCGTTGGATGACGGGCTGCTGTATTGTAACTCCGACTTTACGAATACGCCACAAATTGTGGTTTCTCATGCTGAGGATTTGAAATGCTGTTCCCCCAATGAGCCCCACGACACCCAACGCAGTGGTCATCTCGGTTGTGGGAACACGTCCATCTCGGTGCGCCACCACTACTGGTAGCCAAAGCTGTACAAATGGACAAGCGCATATGTGGAAATCCTATTCAAATGCGGCGGTGCCGCTGGCCAGTTTACCGTTTTCCCCTCGGGTGCTGACAGTCCCTGCCTCTGGACTTTGTGTTTGGCCTACTGAAGGAATCGGCGGGCAA